CATCGGTTCTTGATTCGGGTACTCGTTCGGGTATTTAATTTGTAAAGAACAGCTCGATTCGGTCCGGTTCTGGTCGGGACTTTTGGACACCCCTACACATGACATAAGGGGGCCTCAAAGTTTTGAAACCCCAAAAAGTTATTTATTTGTGAAATTTTCTTAAAAATATATATAGCAGTGCAAATAATGTAGGTGTCTCCCTACCCAATAATGTATTCATTAAGTACAAGGCTAAAAACGAAACGAAATTTTTATTTTTAAATATAGAATATTTTGGACAATAAAAACTAGTCACCACACCCAAACCTCAATGGTTTCCTAAAATCCTTTATATTCTATTTCTTGAAGATGAAAAGTAATTTTCGGACGAAATAAATGGCGTGTACCAAAGGTATAATGTTCCTCATCACGAGAGATTGTTTCATTCAATCATGTTTGATGCTAATATACTTATAAAAATTTACGGGTAAAGCCTCATGATAATTTATCGTCCATGGCCTCAAAACTTTCAGGGCTGACCCTGCCGCCAACTCAAATAAGTATTTCTATGTGCTTCCTACCCCATGTAAAATGAGCAGTGTAGCAACCCGAAATTTTGGGCAAGGCTGGAACAAGTATAAACCAAACATTAAGTACACGCCACACTACCAAGAAGAGGAGTAAGTTTGGGATTCCCAGCATCTAACCATTGTCGTCGAGGCCACTCTAGCCTCTGGCAAAAATGTGAACTTACCACAGGCTGCCGCCAACAGCCTCCTTACACTGGTTGTGAGAACCTTTAACCGTCATATGCTTTAAGAAAACTTTTCAGATTTACTCGAAAATAGAAATAGTGCGCGTTCAACCCATGTGACGGGACATGGAAAATAGTATAATTTAAGCCAAAGAAACGATGCAAGGATTAAATAAAAATGTTTTCTAGGAAAGGCAACTTTGCAAGGATGTCAATAACAGTTGCTTCACGTTTTACATAAACCAGTACTTACATAGTCAGAATCATAAATTGCAAACTAAAAATTAACAAGAACAGGTACAAAAAACAATGTGGCAAGTCGGACTGCCTCAGCATAGCATATTTGCCTCCAAATTACATAGTCTAAAGTGTATAAAATGCATGCTCTGAGTTTAGAAGCTATAATCTTCTCAGGCACAGCAAATGGAAGGACATCTTGTAGAACTGAAACTGTTGTAATCAAATTTCACTTCGTAAAAACCGATATTTTCTATTGGCTGGTTTCAGGATCTGAAACGAACACATCAAAGTATCATCAACGCTCATAATTGCACCAGCATTATCGAATTCACCACGAAAGTTGGGAGCAGAAAATATTTTAACTAGCTGTTTCTCAGCAAAAAATTCATATCCATCTTCCACGACCTCATGACCCCGACATACAAGGTCTAAATCATGCTTTATTAGGAATTCAGTTACCCTATCCGAACCGAAAGTGAATGAGACCCCCCTATCGCTCATCCCCCAACCTTTTCCTTCGACAGGATCCGACCAAAGTAAGTCGCAAAGCAAACCATACTCGGGAACAGCAGTTGGACGAGGCATAGTCCTTATTTGGTCAAAGTTAATTAGATCAGGAGAAAGACCACCATGCATGCAGAATATTTTCTCATCAATAAGAGCAGCCACCGGAAGGCAGTTAAAACAGTCAGTAAAGGCTTTCCATAGTCTCACATTGTAGCGACGTTTACATTCGTCATAGAATCCATATATCCTATTAATAGAAGCACATTCATGATTTCCTCTTAAAAGAAAGAAATTTTCGGGATATTTAATTTTGTAGGCAAGAAGAAGGCATATTGTTTCTATACTCTGTTTGCCATAGTCCACATATCCGCCTAAGAACAAATAATTGGCCTCTGGAGGGAATCCCCCAAATTCGAAAAGCCTTAAAAGATCTCTGTACTGACCATGAATGTTGCCACAAATCTTTACAGGAGCTTCAAGCTCAAGGAAATTAGGCTGTGAAAGAAAGATTTTACGCGAGGTAGTACAGAGAGTGTGGATCTCTTTCTCCGACATCTGCACCTGCCGCCCGTCCCTGTGAGACCGGGATGTCAATAACCGATTGATGATGTCATCAGGAAAAGCAGGCTTTATCCCCTTTCCATTTGCTGCCATCTCTTCCCCTTTCTGTCCTTCTATTCCTAAAACTCCCTAAAATTCAAACACAGACAACAAACCCGATGAGGCAGAGCAAACTACAAAATACACATTTAAAAGTATAATTATGAATGGATAATGACAATAATAATGTGAAAAGGTATTTTCGGACTTCATAAATCCGGTGCCCCTCGCGCAGTTCTCTATGCCCCCATTTTTGATCGAGGCTTTGGTCCCTTCGTTATTTTAAAGCTGTGTGCATATCAAAGTTTGGCTCATGTAAATACTCTAGTCACTTTTTATCCACACAAGTACTGTCCACATATTCACTAATTTCTATTATTTATAATTTAAATAGTTTATAAACACTTTCGCTAAAACGTTTGGATGTGTTTCCGCTTTTATTTGGTCATATTTGACATTTGAATGAATATAATAGCTCCTGCTGAATAAATAAATAAAAATGAAAGCATGGAACCCTTAAATTTTTGTTAAGCTGCCAAAATATGTGTGTGTGTGTATATATATATATATATCAAGGAATTGGAAAGTTTTCTAAACCATAATGACTTCATGAATCCATCTTAAAATTACGTTATTTGATTGTATAGCTGACAGATTCATCCATAAGTAAGAAGCTTGACAAAGAACAAAGAATTATCAAACAGATTACCATCTGGTCTCCAAGCAAATTTACACTATTGGAATGATAAGCTTCAAGTTGAGGATTCTGCTCATGAAATGAAGAATCGAGCCCGAATCTGGAACTAGAGGATATGGATCTGAAACTTGATTCCCTCGAGTCAGCTAAAGCAACTTCTCGGTCTTTTTCTCTCCGAAGAACAACTTCCACGAGTCTCTCCCAGTTATCGTAGTGGTTAGACATCTTCGTATTTCCCGTTTAACAAAAATCTTACAAAATACAAAATCTCAAACGATCAAATAAGAGAATTCAGCTTAAGTTATTGAATCTCAAACACGGAATCTACAGAATAGATAAAAAAATGGTGTTTGTGATTTTATACATGCAGTCTTGGTCAACTGCGCGTTATGAACGTGGACAGCTAGCCAGAAACATAAACCGTGGTTTAAGATGAATTTTATATATATCTAAACTTAGAAAAATTAGGAAGTTTATAAGTGTTTATTTTGTAAAATAAGGGTTAATTTCATTGATGGTCACTGAACATTGTACTTTCTGTTACCTTGGTCACGGAATTTTAATTTGTTTCAAACTCAACGCCGAACTTTACAAAATATTTCAAGCAGACCACTTATTTAATTCGACATCCATTTTTTTTTTATAACTAAAATCCTATGTGTTCGTGTACGAAGTTGAAAAAATTGGGTGTCGCACTAGATACCACTAACAGTTCACGTATTACCAACTATTGCTAAAAATTCGATGGTTAACCTTGTTACTTAACTGTTTTTAGTTTTGACCCTAAGTGCGAAATTAATCAATCAAAAGCAACAAGTCACTTTTGATTATTTCTAGATGATTAAGCATACAAATCCAATTATCCTATGTTGAATTGCCTCAGTAATAAGGAAAACAGTCAATAACACAATACTGATGATGGAGATAAAGTTGTCAAGATGGGCGGGCCGGGGTGGCCCGTCCAGGCCCTCCCGGAGTTAAAACCTGCCCGTGATTCAGCCCATGAACCGTGTGGGCTGAATCACGGGCTGCCCGAATTTGAAACCAGTCAGGGCTGGTTCAAGGTAAACTGATGGCCCGATTTTTAAAAATAATAATAAAAAAAAATTATAGCGCCTGCAGCAGCAGGCGCTGCTGCAGCTGAGTCAGAATGGTCATTTGATCGTTCTGACTTTTCTTTTATTATTTATTTATTTATTTTGCATAGTTAACG